CTGTCTGTCTGTCTGTCTGTCTGTCTGTCTCTTTCTCCTCTGTGAATCACTTTTCTGTTTCCTTTATTTATTTTTATTGACTTTTTTGTTCCATCAATCTGTGAGGTCACTTCAGGTCATTTACAGTTATCTCTTGCCGCATTAATGCAATGCCATATGGCGTCGGTAATTGAATCATTATTACACTGACGAATCTTTATTATTGAGGTCAAGATCGATTAAGGTCACCTCATTGTGTGGCCTATATAACGGCCATTCAGCCGCTGCTACTTCATTCGTCACGAGACATGTCTAGTGATCAGACGGATAAGTCGCGTTCCGATAACACTGAAAGGAGGGGGATGTTGATGAAGGCTGTGCGTTTTGAAGACCTCCAAACACCACAGCACAACTTGAAGGAAGTGAAAGAGTCCAGTAAGTTGGAATTCAGTTGTCCCTTTTCATGCTCCACGCTCTTGATAGATCAAACTCGTTGTTCAGAATCGTGCCAATCTATGAGTGCCAACACTGTTGACCAGAGGCCAAGTCAACTAGCCGTGCCTACTGTCCAGCTTATCGAGGGAAAATCTGCCCAACTCTCCGATTCCACCGTGTTAACTGGTTCCAGTGATCCATCACTCCTGCCAAGAACACCTTCGGCTGCGCGTCGTTTGAATGCTTCGAAGGACGTAGCAAGAAAGCCAGTGGATATCAGTCATCTCAAAGTGAAAGCTCCTCAAGCAGCCGAAAATCCACTCAAATCCCTACTCTTGAATTTCTCCCGACGCTACAGTGGCCCTAGTTTAACCTCCCCTTCTCTCAACGCCCCACAACCACCCTCGAATGTCACTCACGCTGTCACCCAATACACGGCTTCATCGACCTTCTCAAGCCGTGCTTCCCCTCCCTCTTCCACTCTACCCTCTTTGCCTCCCCCACGTTTTTCTTCTTCTCCAATACCTCCCTCCTCCCCTTCGGCTCCTCCTCATAGAAAGCCAGTGGATATCGGTCATCTCAAAGTGAA